TCCGACCGTGCGATCTAGGGGCTCCTGCTTTCCATCTCCCAGGTCTCATCTCGCGAGGGTCTCCTCAGCTGGTCTGGGGACTTCCCTGGCAAGACCCTTTTTCTCTCAATAGTCACAAACTAACAGCAGCATTGTTTTGCTAAGACATACTTACTCATCTCTAGTTCTGAAATGCTCCATCCTTCTTTTTATAAGGGGTAGTTTCCATGCTAAGATCTTAGACATCCTTATTTCTTTGTAACTTCTTAGGAATAATGGTTCTGAGTATAAACTTCCAGTTATAAGATTAACAGGTTCTGAAGACCTAATGTACAGCATGGTGATTACAGTTAATAATACTGTATTATACACTTGAAGGTTGCTGAGAGAGTAGTACTTAAACGTCTTACCACAAAAAAGAAATCCTAATTACATGACGTGACATGATTTTGCAATAAATAAATGCATCACATCGGTACACTGTATACCACAAATTTACACAATGCAATATCAATTGTATCTCAATAGAGCTGGAAAGAAAGAATCCCACAAATAAATAATTTCTTAAATGGCTCTGAGATCATTTTTGTGGAATATTCACTATCCTGCATCGTAACCTCTTTGGAGCGATAAAGTTAACTCCTTGACAATGGCTGATGCTGCCAGCTTCGTTTCTCTTGCTCTAATGATCTACCTCCTCCATAGTCCCTCATGAGGACCACTTGACTATTTTTAGTGCTTATTTTTAAATACTTATGCAAATGTTATTAATACATGACAAATTTACATATATTATCATTTAACCCTCAAAAATATAAATATAAAATAGGTATCATTATCCTAGAGAGGTTAAGATCCAAAAGGACCTCACCCAACTCATCCAATTGTAGACTTGGGATTCAAACCCAGCTATTTCCCTCGCCTGCTAACTTCTCAAATTCTTCCCTCCATAATGGACTTACAACTTCTTTTCCAGAACACAGCTTCAAAGTTCTTTCAGCAGCTCTTTGAGATATTTTTAGGAGGCACATCTCATTCTGCGCTATTCCCTGACACGATTATCATTTCACACCTTCTGTTACATGTCCCTCCTTCCTATTTTTAACATGTTTTTAATCTGATCTAGTCAAAAGCTTGTTAAATGTCTTCCTCTTTTCTTATATTGAAAAATCCTTTTGGGTAAGTGATAACCTGGCTTTGATATTTCAGAGACTTTCAGACATGAAGGAGCCTCACTGAGCTCTGGTGAAGAGATGCGTGGGAAGGGGAGTGACGACACACAGGCCACGCCACCTCGGTGAGACATTAAAGAAGGAAAAGTCGACACGTCTATCTGTTTAACACATGGTTCTCCATTTTTCAAAATCAAGGTTGGGTAAAACGAAAGAAGCAAAAACCAAGATCCCTGCTTAAAAGTTTGTAGCTCTGAAAAACCACTCTGCTACACCCGAGGTTATGACCTCAGCCTCCATCTCTGCTGGCCGTTGTCATTGCGCTCCAAGTGACAAAGCTGTCCCTGGAGGTTAGCCAGCTGGGCTCCAGAAGTGAGCGGCTGGTGAGGGCTCAGGACAAGTCAGTCAGCAGCCCCAGTGCTGCTCGCTCTGGCGATGAGTTGTAAGAACCCATCACATCTTACGTGCATCAGGTTCTCAAGAAATACACGTTGAGGAAAGAAACAGAGCATCGCTAGAGGTGAGGCCAGAAGTCGGACAACGTGTACAGCACAGGGCATTCTGTGGCCATGACTGTGAGCAGCTGTGGAGAGCAAAGCACCTATTCTAGAATAGGAACGTGAGCACTACCCCGAGTGTGTGCTATCATTCACCCAGCCGGTGCACACGGACCAAGTAACTGCCGCGTGCCAGGAGCTGTGCAGGGCGTTCCGTCGTGAGCGGCACAGGCAGGTTCCTGCCTTCATGGGGCTTTCATTCTAGCAGATGCCGCGAATGTTAATCAATTAATTACATGATTCCTTTAAAAAAAAAAAAACAAACAAACTAGTATATTTGTTTAGCCTATAGATTAAAAGATAATTGATTCCAAGATCTGGGTCACAGGATGTGGGGATGAACAAAAAAAATGGCAGCCCAATAAAATAGCAATTAAAAGTGAGTCCCTGACAAGCTAAACTGAATAGAAAGACCGTCAACTCCCTCCCCCAGGGACAGACCATCTATTCCCACATTCTACAGATGAAGGCAGTTTGCAACCTGAATAGCTAATTCTGTATCTGCTGTTCTAAAAGAATCTACGGGCTTGTCAGGACTTCCACAGAAAAATTATGAGGCAAGTCCACTGAGACATTATTCCTTTTAATTACAATCATGGTAAGTGCAACAAAAGAAAATGTGGGGTACCAAGAAGGGCTTCCTTGAGAAAATGGAGTTTGAGCGGAGCTCTGGAGGAGGGACCAAGGCGAGCAGGCTGGGGGATGGATCATGGGAAGGCGTGGGGTAGAAGGAAGCCCGGTACATGAGAGAAACGGAGATCAGGTGAACGCGGCGATACCCAGACAGCAGAGGAAAAAGTGCTTGGCATCAATTCAGGACTGAATGCTGTTAATGACTCCACGCCTGCTCCTGAAAGCATAAGCTAGAACAGGGAGTGACATGGGAAGACTGGCACCCTAACGTGATCATTGACTGGTGCCATATAAAAAATAAATCAGAACTCTCTCATCTCCTACTCTGATATTCTCCGTTCCCAAGGTCCGTCCCCTACAAACCATCTCTGAAATTCCCAGTAGATAGTAATGCAATTAAAATATTTGAAATTTTTAAAAATTCATTTATTATTTCTATAATAATAAAAGACAACCAATCTGAAGAGACATTTTGTCAGAGAAGATATATACAAATAGCCAATAAGCACCCTTGAAAAGATGCTCAACATCATTAGCCATTAAGGAAATGAAACTCAAAACTACATAAACAATCACTTCACATCATTAGAATGGTCCTAAGAAAGAGACAAATACAACCTTTCCATGTCTATTCATTTATGGATTCTCTGTGGCTGCGTTCCTGCTATATCAGCAGTATCGAGTAGTGACAAAGACCACATAACCTACAAACCTGAAATATTTCTCCTCTGGTCCTTTACTGGAAAAGTTTGCCAACCCCTCCTGTACAACATTATTTTGAATGTTATTCATACAAGTCAAAAGCCTAAGACAGCTTATCAAGTGCACTTCAAAGGCCTATCAACGCTCGGAGTGATTTTCTAGGCTCTTGAGTAAACACCAATTTAGGCAGTTTTATAACAAACCCGTTTAAGAAATGAGTATTTTGATTCTGACACACCATAAACCAGTGGAGACATACAATTTCCTTAAGTGCTTCTTTGGAGGGCCATGTTCTTGGTGGGGGCGGGGGGGCTGCTGCCTGCTGGGTGCCATGCAGACCCAAGATTCTGACAGCTCAGCTGGTAAAACTGAAGCTGGAATTAATAGCCATTACCCAAAGGTCAGCGCACAGAGACAAGCCAGCAGCCAGTTTCCACATGTTCATAATTTTGATATTTTCCAAATATAAACAACAGGTCTTTGTCTTATAATTCTGTCTCTAAATGGCTCATTTAAAAATGAAAACTTTAAAACAAAAAACCAGAGTTACATGATGCAGTTGCTTGCTGGTGATATGTCAATGGCTAATTATCAGGGCTTGTGTACCTGTGGCCTACCTGCCGGGCGGCAGACGCTGTGCGGACGTCCTTGTGGGCACTACCCACCAGTCTCCTCGGAGCCAAAGCAGGAAAAATGCTGCCAATCCCGCTGTCACGTGCACTGTCGCTTAGAACTTCACCTTATGCTCAAGACAAGCGCTCTCTGAGACTTACTTGGATAGGGTTTTTCTCATATATTGGCTTAATACATTTTTAAAAAGGGAAAAATGTAAGTAAAATGAATTGGTTGAGGTTTTCTAAAAAAGGTCTTCCCCTTTGGAGACTGACTCAGAACCATCCACATCCTGCTGGTCCACACACTCTGCCCCATCAGAGGCCGGGGCACAAGGACACGCTGAAGCTCTGACGCCACCAGAAGAAATTCTACTAAGCTTCAGAGGAATAGGTAATTTCAGTGATTCTTGAGTGGTTCCAGAACCACCGAAAGAGGAAAAACTTTTTTTGTAAAGAAGCAATTTAGCGTTAACACCGAAATCTAGCAAGAAATATATTCTATCAAAAAACGAGAAACAAAACTATAGACCAATCACACTTATAAATAGCAATAAAAAGTCCTGAAAAAAATTAGCAAAAAACTGCAGTAGCACAATGAAAGAATAATTAAGTGTGGTTATTGACTCAAATGCTAGGATGGTTTAACATTAGGTAATCTATTACACATAACCTAGCACACAACTAGATCCAAGGAAAAAATCATTTTTTTATTTCCATAAGGGACAAAAAAAGCAAGAACAGAAAGTAGTCATTTGTTCTTGCTTTCAAACGATATAATTAAAATAGATGAGTACTTCCTTAACCCAAAAAAAAAAAGATTCTAAGGCCATACTAAGATATCCTCTACCTGTGGAGAGGCAAGGGTTATATGGGAACTCTCCGCACTTCTCCCTCAATTTTGTTTGAAAGGTAAAACTTCTTTTAAAAAAGTAAAACCTTTAAAAAATTTTTTAAATAGTAATATTGCAGATGTGTATAAGATGCAAAGTCTGGTCACCCTCAACGCATCCCGTCTCCCTTTACAAGGGGCTTTTGACCATGTATGTCTTATTTTGATTGGCACCAATAGGTCTAAATACTGAGCTTACACTTGCATTTTTGGGTTATCCTCTTCAGCAGTGCCTATTCACTTTGCACCATGTAGAAAGTAAATTAACGTAGAGAAACTATCACGATCTAACCACACTATGCCTTATTGCTGGAAATATGATTTATAGGTTCCTTAAACATCTCTTTTGGCTGATCAACATTAAATAGTACTTGCCACCCTACTAGGTAAGGTGAAGAAACTTAAAAAGACACAAAACTCAACAGAATCAAAGCAAATTCTGAGAAGTACTTACCTTGTTCATAAAGGAGCTTCATGTTCGAATCTTTGCAGGCAACCAGATTGTTGAGCAGTGCAATCACACTTTGCATGGTGTTACCCAGAATGTTCTCCTGATGTTCCTGCAAGAGATCACATGTTTCACCATTACTACGCAGAAATGCAATTATATGATAAGATGGACAAATGACTGAATGACCTCCTTCCCTTCCATCTTTGCACAAGGCGCCACAATTGCCTGGGCACGGGAATGGAGCAGGGGCTTCCACGTGAAGGCACGCCCCGTCAGGGAGTTAGGCAAGTAGGGAGGCGGCCGGAGCCATCCAGAGCCCCAGCGCTCCTGCACGCAGTCCCTGCCCGTGAGCCAAAGGACAACCACGCAGCCCTCTGTGCTTAGACAGGTGACAAAGGAGCAAAAATCAAGTACTGGGAACTTAGAAGACCACCCCTGAAAGCCGTTTTGAGATTATAAAAGAAAACTACATGACCAAAGAAGTATTTCTGGAGTTTCAAGAATAACCTGGCACTGATACTCCCGTACTGAAGTCCTGTGCATTGCTGCTCGTGTGGGATGTGACCTACTGCCTCACTGTTCCAGTGTGAGGAACTACATTTGGGGCCTAAAAGGGCGAGTGTGGCATTCTCCCAACACGTAACATCACAGAGGAGGGAGTAACTTTGCTCCTAAAAAAGAATGAAAAACAAATAACCTTTTCAGTCTTAATTTCTTATTTTAAGGACAAAAAAAAAATTTGTAATTTTTAAGGGATCTCAAAAATAACTTGCTTTAGTTTTGTTTCCTTTTTCATTCCCCTGACTTTTTTAAAAAGTTCAACAACTAACATTGATTATCATTTAAACTCTGAAATTTCAAATAGCAAAAAGCAAGCCATGGAGCTCTGGCGGTGGGGTGAGGCAAGCCACACAGGATGAAGTGCTTTGGGAGCGCTGCAGGGTAAGGCTGTGATTTTAAACAAGGCGAGTGAGACCTGCTCCCTTAAGAAGGTGGCATCTGAACAGACATGCATTTATTCTTTTAATATACTCCTAGGTTCTGTTAGCTAATTTGTTTTAGAGTAGTTGCATCAATGTTCTTAAATGTCATCTACCTCTGCGTGACATCCTCATCTGACTTTGGTACCGATCTCATGCCAGTCTTGTCCATCCATTTTATTTCCCAAATGTTAATGGTACATCTAATTTGTGTTTCTGGGAGATTAGGCAGAACTCACTAACAAAAGCAACTGGGTTCGATGTAGCTTTACTGGTAAATCTTTCTTTTTTTAAAGTCCTCACCCAAGGATATGTTTTCATTGATTTTGGAGAGAAAGGCGGGGAGGAGAGAGAAAAAAATTGAGGTGAGAGGAACATCAATCGGTTGCCCTCCATATACACCCTGACCAGGGATCGAACCCTCAACCCTTTGGTACACAGGTCAATGCTCCAACCGACTAAGCCACCCAGCCAGGGCAACCAGTGGATCTTTAATATCTTTTGAAAAACATCTCAGGAATCTATACCTTGACCCAATTTTGTTTATTTCCAATTCCTAGCAAAGCATCTAAAAGGTGCAAGTTTTCACACATATAATTATGCGCAGCATTCTCTTGTATCTTCACAAATCTTTGAACCTATTCACCTTGCCTTTGACAGTGTCTCCTCCCTCTTTCTTGCTGATCAGACTCACCAAAGCTTCATCTTATTTTATTGGTCTTTTCAAGGAAAGAGCTTTCCATTTTAATGATCATCCACATTTTTGGCTTTGAGTTAGTCATTACGAATGCACACAAAGCTGACACTTCTCTCTCCCGGGTATGCAGTAGGAGGTCAATTCCTGCCCACTTGTCATTAGAAATGACCGTGACACTTGCTTCGGCCAATTGAACTCGTTTGGGCACAAGCTTTAAGATCAATGAGGGCTTTATGGTCCTCCTTTTCTGCTCCCAGTGACTGGTCATGTTCTAGACGGTAGAGGCTCCAGTCACCCGTCACAGAGCGAGGACATGCAGCAGAGCCGCCAGGTGTCCCTTGAGGGACACGTGCTTTCCAAATCTGACAAAAGTACCAACACTGTGCCTGGCTCTGAAACTACATGCACCTCTGATGACAGCCACCCAAGTTCCTGAGTCTCACCTATGTCTTTGCTCAATACAAGGGGGAGGGGTCTGCTTTCCAAATGCCGGCGCCTATAAATGTCTAACATTCTTTAGAAACACATGCTTAAAAGTGGGCGAATAGTGTCTGACTGTTCCACTGACACCAGCTTACGAAGATTAATGTGGACGCAATGGTCTGCCACCAATTTCATCTCATTATTCTCACAGTTAGTTGGAAGGAAAGGGTGATTAATAAGCCCCAACATGACACGACATGTTACTCATGATGAAGTAACTAACGATACATGGGAAACCTATTTTTGTGAAGAAATGAAGCTAATAAATCTTTGCTTTTTGTCCCATTTGGTTACATAGCACATGTGACTCCTTGTTCAAAGACCAGTCCGTAAGCTTACTGGAGACAGATCGATGGTTCCTTCGATAGACACCTTTTAATAACTAAGCGTACCTTTTCACGGATGCTTTTGGCAGTATTCCTGGCTCGCTGTGAAGCCAGGGCTCCAATGTTCCCTCGTGCCCACAGGGTGAGTGACACTGATCGATGCAGGCATCTCCTTCTGAACAGCAGCCAACTTTCCAAACCTCCATCACCCCTGAACACTGAGCACCCAGGGTCGCTCCCCAGCCAACCAGGCTCGGAGACTCCTGACCTGGGGTCCCAGAGCACTGCGGAGTGGAGGCCTCGGCCCACCCACTGGTCCATCTGCAGAGGGGCGCACAGCTAAGGGGCACCCTGATTATCACGTGCCTCCACTAACCTTATTACTGCGACTACTCAAGAGAAAATTTCTGATGCAGAGGACAAAGAAGCCGATCGATAATCCTGTAGCCAGAGTGGAACATACGGTTCCTTTTCTGCTGTAGCCTTTGACAGTTGCCAGATAGGAGGGCGGGGTGGAGGACTGGGTGAAAAAGGCGAAGGGATTACAAAATACAAGTTGCCAGGTATAGACATAGCTGCATGATGCAAAGGACAGCATAGGGAATATAGTCAATAGTGTAATAACTACGTATGGTGCCCAGTGGGGACTAGATTTAACGGGGAGATCATTTCTCTTAGCAAACTTAGTAAGATTTGTTCTTGCCGTTTCACAGCCACACTAGCCTACGGGAAAAATTATGCATTGGAAAACATCACGTTTACTTCTTGAAGTCAGAGTGGAGGGTTATATGAAGGGAGGAACATGAGGGTCAATACTTGTGGCCAGAGTTCTTCCTGGGCATATGGGGAAAACTGATGCAAAAAAAAAAAAAAAAAAAAAAAAAGGAAATGTGAGCCACACTCTGGTGCAAAGACCACAGACCCGAGCTGGAGGGACAATTCCATGAGGCGCTCCTCTGGGACAGCGCCCCCACCCAAGGCAAGCCTGCGTCCCAGAGTGAAAGGACTGTCCCTGAAGCTACATAAAATCCTAATGCTTTTTTTTTTTCTTTAACCCTCTTGGCTCATTAGTAAGACAAGAATTCCATTCCATTGGTGCCCCAACACATGCAAGGAAAATAGTGAGAAGAGACAAAAGCCAGTGATGAGCTTGACCAGGTCCTTCGGAGCAGGGCCAGGGGCCCAGTTTGCTTGTGGCTTCAGTGCTGATCAGGGCGGGCCCTGGTGGAGCAGCCACGTGGGCCCGAGGCGCCACACGACAGAACTGACGGTTTATTGACGTGGTGCTATGTGCCGTGGCCTGTGTCCCCAGCACTTTACTTATATAAGGTATCCAGCCATGTAACATGGAACATAGAGACATTTATTGAAAAAGATACAAGAAACATTGTACATAGGACAATGATCCCTCAGTCCCCTTCAAAGTAGGGGCCTCGGGACCTCACACAGGTCTCCCAGTCGCCATCAGCTGCCTTGTCACATTTTCCTGAATCTCACTGACAGTCTGAAATCTCTTCCCTTTCAATGGTGATTTTAGTTTTGGGAAAAGCCAGAAGTCACAGAGCACCAAATCTGGGCTGTAGCAGGGCTGAGTCACCTGGGTGATTTGATGTTTAGCCAATAAACTCTGCACAAGACACAATGCATGAGTGGGCACATTGTTGTCATGAAGCTGCCAATCATCAGCTGCCCACCGCTGCAGCCTTCCACATCATCAAAATCCCTTCCGCGAAGGAATGTTCAAGCTTAACACAAAAACTGATGCAGATTCATTGCTCTGCTTGCTCAGTCCTCTTGAATGCGACAGCCACACAGCACACATGCTCACTCAATGGCGTCTACTACCCCCACTGACTAGTACAGTGAAGTTTCTTTGTTCATGCATACACATCCCAGTCCACTCTCCTTGGCTGCCACGTTACATCAATCCCACGCAAACCATTCTCATTATATTAACAGTAGCTGAACTTCCAGGCACACCTTCGTGTGACTTCATTTAATGCTCACAAAAACTTGGAAGTGGCTACAGTCTTCCCATTTTACAGATAAGGACACTGGTGAGTGAAGGGTTCCTTGTGAAAGCTCCCCCAGCTCTTCAATGGTGAAGCCAGGGCACAGCGTGTAGGACGGCAGACGCCACGCCCCTCATCACCACGCAGCTCTGCCGGGGACCACAGCACCGCAGTGGGGCAGAAGCGAGGTCTGCCGGGCACCACACCGCAGGTGAAACAGCAGCACCTGAGGACCCACGAAGGTAACAGAGGAATCTGACACGGTCCAGAGTAGGGGGCAGAAAGCGGCAGAGAAAGTTGGGGGCTGTTCCTGTCCTGTCCCCCCCTCCCTTCCTGCCACAATGTACCCTGCCCTGTGCCACCACCACCTGGCTTCATAAGGGATCTCCTGGCTTCATAAGGGCCCTTAATATACAGGGTGGGACAAAAGTAGGTTTACAGCTGTGAGCATGCAAAACACAGAGTTTATTCCCGTATTTTTACTGTGTTATTGTCCATACAAACAACTGTAGGCTTACCTTTGCCCAGCCCTGTATATCACTTTGCTGAAGACATACAACCCAGGACGCAAGGTGTAAGTGTTGGGCAACTACAGGAAAGAAAGAGCCTAT